CCTCGTTGCCTAGACTCGCCATGATCGCGCCTAGCTCCTTTGATGAGATCTTGCCGTCTCCGTTCACGTCGAATTTTTTGAAAACCGCTTCGAGCTCTCGGATCTCGGTTTTGCCTGAACGTGTTTTTTGGAGGTATGGTGAGTCTGCTCCGGTGCCGCCGCCGGAACCATTGGGTTGGTTTTTCTTGTTGAACATGGTTGCGAATCTCGTTGGTGTGAGGAAGAGAGATGTGTTTTTGTATTTGTGGAGGTTCTTGTGGAAGCGAATGAATCTCTGGATCGTTAGCTAATTTGGGATTTTCTCAACTTAATCTGGACTAGATCTTAGATTTGTGTGTAAATGGATTTTAGTTGTTATTATTAGAACACAGCGAATATGTATTTGGAAAAATGGTATTTAGGGGAAATGGTGACAATATAGAGATGGGAGGCATGTTGGGAACAGAGAGCTTCATGCCTAAGTACTGCTCTTCCAATTCTCTAAACACGTATCTAGATAATTAACAACTGGATGATAATGGTTAATTGATTTGTTAAACTATTCATCATCATTTCAAAGTCAAAATGGTCTTTAATACATTAAACGACACCACATATTTGAACGAAATATATATTGAAAATATATGAATTTTATAAGAATATATACTAGCTATGTGTTATTTTGTTAATATCATCAACATAACTTTAATGGCTAAAAAGTGTTGGATTTGGAATATCAATCAATACTATTAAAATAGAAGCACATTTTATCTATTTGCAAATAGTCTAGGTTAAAACATTACATTTATTTAAGTTTATGTTATATTACATACAACAAACTTCTTTATTATTAAATAAACACGTAATATTAATATAATATTTAAATATATTCAAAATAAAATATCAAAAAGATACTCTAACTACTTTTTCAGATTACATTTTAACAAAATCTTTAATATATTTTATTTTAAAAATAAATATTTATTGTTTTAATATTATTTTAATAATAAAAACATAAAATAATATTATATTAAATTACAAATGAATATTAACTCATTTTGATTTATAGAATAATAAATAACAATCTATAAAATTTGTATATAAATAATACTTCATATTTGTAACTAAAAATTACACAAAATAATTATTATAATATAAATTCATCTACTGTATAAATTATAAATTAAATGAATTAAATTTAAAGAATAACAAAATACTACCATAAGATATTTTAAAAAAAATTATATATCATAAAATACATATCTAAATTAAAACATTATGATATAAAAATTAATATTTAATTATATGTAACTGACACGAAATATTAATAAACAAATTCTTAAAACTTCTGTCAATTCATAATAATATAATTATCATAAATAAAGTCTTAAAATTGTTTATATATATAATTTTTATAAAATAAATATTAATAATAGCTACTATTAATATTTAAATATATGATGAAACATGTTATTACTAATATTTTTATGATTATAATTTTACGGGTTATTCCAATAAACAGACAAAATATTTATCAAATATAAAATTAATTTAACAAAATATAAAACATAATTTAAGTTATGCTTAGGAGTTTAAGTAACTATTGGGATACGGATCGAATATTTTGAATCAAATCTAGTTTATATCACATCATAGGTGTCATAATTTGTAAGTAGGCATGTTTGTAAGTATGGATCAGATTCAAATATAACATGTCGGGTTTGGTTCTAATTTGTACACATCCTAAAACCGATAAAGTAATCATATATCGTTCGATTCGGGTTATATTGGTTTGGAAATCTAAAATCTATAAAACAAAAAAAAGATATTTATTTTTATAGAATTGGATATTAAAGTACTTATTTAAAATTTAGATAATTAATTTTAAATATCATTTTAAAATAAATATAGAACTGAATATTTAAACTAGATAGTTATGTTTCAAATATTTATATTTATGATTAATTTGAACATTCATATCGATTCAGATTTTTTCCAGGTTTTTCGGTTTTTGAGTTATTCGTTCGGGTCTAGCTAATAACACTTTGATTCAGATATATTTTATACCACCCTACAAAATTCATTCTGATATATTTTAGATTTTTGACCAGTTATGGATCCAAATATTTTTGTTTAGATTGAGTTTAGACGTCAAGTTATGGATTTTATGTACATGTCTACTTTATATAAAACAAAAATGCGTTCATATAAAATTTTCATCGAAAGATTATCTTGCATTTTTAAAAATATTATGTTTAATGAAATTAATGAAAAAAAACAAGTCTATCCCAGATTCTACATGTATAGGAAATGCGATTATATAAAGTTTGCATCAAACATAAACTCGCGTTTTGAAAGAACGGATCAAAATCTAGTAACACATTAATATTTTAACATACTCTCAATTGTTCTCGGTTGTATAACATTGCATTTGATCTAATGTTTTGTTTTGGATATAAATTTTTAGAATGTGTCAATATTTGTTTCTAAATATATTTTATCAGAAGTTGTGAGATTTTAAGTCTGACAAGCTTTCTTCGGTTATTGAAAAATTGTCGATTGTCTTACAATTTAGTAGATATAATGCATACTATTTCTTTATATCATTTGATTCATATAGTTTATGTTGTCTCCAATATAATATTCTGTCTAAGTTTGTGATTACATGATGGTGTGCTGTTTGTGTATAACAATTAGTTTTCATACTAGGTGATAACTTGCGCCTTGCGCATGATGAAGAGTTTTAAAGAGATCATACATCAATCTATAATTGTTAGAGAAGTAAACGTAAAAGACAGAAATATTACATGTTATCTAATAAGAGATTCAACGAAATTGTGTATATCTATATTAAATAAGCTTTGATTTTTTTTAAAAAAATGTGTTATTTGTTTTATTTAATTGAAATATAGTTCATGGAAGTGAATCTCTAAGAATAAGCAAAAAATTATATAAATTAATTAGGAAGTAAAGATAAAACAAAACATAGCTAATAGAATTACTGATTTCATAAATAAATTGTGAATATAAGACAAAAGGAAACATATGTAATAGAATAATAAAATATGAAAAGAACAAAATATAATGAAACAAATTAAATAAATAAAAAACTGAGAACTATTTTATCTAATTTAAATAATTAGTGCTCAATCAGCTAATACCATATTTGTATAATTGTGTACCAATTTAGATACATAGAGTCATAGATCACGAAAATCTGAGTCAATCATGCACTGATTAGATAATGTTTTGAAGCTCGGAATGAATATGCATGAGTTATTTGATTGAGTATCCAATTAGTGCATTAGATTTTATAATTATGTGACTGAAAATAACCTTTATGGCTGTTGGATAGATTTTCAAATAATGTGACTGAAAATAACTTTTATGGTTGATTAAATTATCGTGTATTTTAGGAAACAATATAATTTCTTATTGAAAAATATAAAGAACACTAAGTTTATGTTGTTGACATTAATACATTGTCTTCTGTCAATCTATTTGAATTGAATACACATTTAAAATTAGATCACATAGATATGTTAATATGCCCAAATTAAACTTAGTCATGTTTTGTTTATTTTCATTGTTTCTATTAAAAACTAATCGAAACGTCAAATTCATATAACAATTGGATTTATAGAAATCCTTACTTATATGACATAAATAGATGATAATATATTGATGAAGTTCGTCTTCTCTTGTATTCAAAATTCCGTAATATAAATATTGAAGTCAACCAAAATAACATATTTTATGACACTTTTCTATATAAATTTTTAAATTTATTTTTATTTTTTTAATTTCTGATTTTTTTTATTTTTTCCTGAACTTATATCAATTTTTAGAATTTATATTGATTTTTTATCTAATTTTTTTTTGTTTTTATTAATTATTTTTTTTGTGTTTTTAAGTAAACCGCCACGTCACCGCTTTTTACCTGCTAATGCACAGTAATCGGTCACAATTTTGACGTATGCAACAAGTAAGTTAGTTTGATGTTTAATATGTTATTGTTACAAGTTTTATTGTTTAAACAATTAACAATTGAGTCTCCAGATTTACAATACAAACTTTTGCTAACTTTAATGTTTTTTATGCAATTTTCTCAACAACAAGGGTGTTTAGTTTAGAGGACAATTTCACAATTACCATTTTTGTGATACCACAATTCAACTTTACCACAACTCAAGGGACATTTTCATAAATACACAATTCATTAATGACAAGAAGACAATACTACCCTTCCCTATCTTGCCTTCTATTTTCTTTATCTCGCCTAGATACGCCGTCTCTCTCTCACCATACTGCAACAAAACAGAGAATCAACGCCGGTGACGCGAAATCAACGCCGGTGACGTGTTCATCAACGCCGGGTAACGTGTTCATCAACGCCGTTGACTGGCCGGTTGTGAAGGCGGCGGAGTTCGCCGGAGTTAACCCGTTAACGCCTCCGCCACTGTTTCGTTACTGCGGGAACAACGAGACGCTACACATCGTGTTTCCTGATTGGTCGTATTGGGGATGGTAAAACGCTTCTTCTTCTTTTTTCGAGCAACCCATATCTTGTTGGGTTTGTAATTTGACTGTGAGAGTTAGTGCTTGGCATTTGGGTTTTCAGTTCGGTTTGGGGTATTTATTACCCCTTTAGGAACCGGATGTTCGGTTAATGTGGGTTTCTAATTTTGTATAAAACCTGAAATGGAACCGAATTAAAAGTATTTCGGTTCGGTTTTCGGGTTCCAGATAATCTACTAAGGACTAGTGAGAGTTGTTTAGAGAGGTTTCAAGAGAGTTGCATTGTTTTTTTTTTTCAGGGCTGAGGTGAATATAAGGGAGCATGCTGCTGTTATCTCTCTGCAGCCACATCAGCCCTTTGGTAAGATGATCCACCAAGTTGTAAATGCAGATCATAACAGTGGCACACATAAGTCTGCTACTCCATTTCATCAACTGGCCAAGCCACTGTTGGATTCATCTTCTCAGCCTTGCAAGTTTTTATGAACAGTTCTCAAAGAGTAATGGGTTTACCTAATCCTGGTCCTTCAAGTAAGGCAGTCTTGTGGAAAGAAAGGACGTTTATTGACCTAGAAGGTGATACAGATACTAACACTTGTCATTGAGTTGCTTCTCATCAACCACGCCACTTGTATCCATACAATCCTCCAGATTCTGCTGCCCCTTGGAACCATATGCATTCTTCTTGGCAAAATCCTAGCTTTGACTTCCCTCAGAGAGTTGCTTCAGAGCAGAGGTACCCGGTTAATGCTCAGAAACAAGGGGGGGCTCGGAGATAGATTATAGTTTGAAAGCATAGCTAGATATAACTCAGGGTGTGGGAACAACAACCACAACATGTTTTACAATGAGTGTTCTTATTCTTCTTCACCAAAATCGAAATTCTATGGGACTGGTTATACTTATCCTAACGGAGGAAGAAGTGATTACAGACCGGGAAAACCATCGTTGGAATCAAATGGCAAGGATGTGAAGTTTGTGAGAGATTTGAACTTGAATGTGACACTTTTTTCAAACACACCTGTTGTTGAAGTCAGAAAGGATGAAGAAGAACGTCTAGCTACTTTACCATGGCTTGTTAAACCCAAGTCTGCTTGTAACTCTGAGGTGGCTGATGGGAGACGGAATCAGAAGATTAGTGATGCTGTTCAGAGGGAGGCAGAGACTGAGAAGATCAACACTAACTTGAATATTCCTAGAGATGAATGCAATGCAGAAAGAGATAAAGTTAGGATGATGCTAGACATCAATGAACCGTGTGAACCACTTTCAGATGCAGATGAGCAATTGGAAGAACAGACCGGGACGAAGGTTTCGGTTAGTAATAAGTGTCACATTGATTTGAACATGTCAGTTAGTGAAGAAGAAGAAGATGAGATTGACCTGTCTCCGCATCTTCTTGACATTGATATTGCTCAATTTGAAGTTTTTTCTAGAAATGGTAAAGTAGAGTTCTTTTCTGTTCAATTTGAAGTTTTTTTATTTGTGTATTGTGGTAAAGTTTGTGGCTTTTTTTTTATAAACATTCATGAACTTGCTGCAAGTAAGATTTCGTAATAATAGATTTGAGTATGATCTCCAACTGGTGTATCTTACTTTTATTTGTGTTGAGTTTTTTTACAGAATCCTTGCGCAGTTAGAAGACGATGTGGTTCCGTGTGAATCGCAGATGGAGAATTGGAAAACGAATTTGGAAGTAATGGCAGCCAAGGAGGAACAGTACATACAGCAGTAGAAGAAGTATGAGGTAGAGACGCCTTCTTTTCCTTTTAGTGTTTAGATTCTCCTTAGGTGATAAGTAAGCTGAGAATCAGATACATTCCTGCAGTTAGATGAGATACCTTCATGTAAAAACTGGAACAAAATCTCAGAGAGTTGAAACGGGAATGATTAATTTAGTGATGTAAGCAAGTAAGCAAGTAAGCAAGTACAAGATTATGAATGCCGATAGGATCTTATAGATTTGTGACGAGAAGGTTTTTAAGTTCAAAATCATCGGTAATTAGTAAAGAAATGTTGAGGGAACATAATATAGTTTAGGGCAATCAGGAAGCTAAGGTGTGAGTATCTTAGTGTGTGTTTACACATTTTTGAGTTCATAAGCTAGTGACTGCACCTGATACTGATAGTAGAGTTCTCTTTCATAGGTTTGAAAGAGCGAACTGAGAAATAGCGTTAGGCCCTGAAGATTGAGTATAAGCTGTTACTTTGTTTTTTTTGTGTCCAACGGAGCTTTGTTACAACCATAAAAGAAGATTATGAATCAATCTGCTGGGGCTGTGGACTAAACCTCATTCTTCCATCATACGCACATGTTTTCAAATGTGGCTGGTGTGGTGCAATCACGAATCAGAATCCAGTCAGACTTGAAACCAGAAGCTTTTGGTTGAGACGTATCTGTGACCGCTGTTTTGTCGCTATTCTTGCTGTTTTATGCTCTTTGTCATATGTAAGTTCCTCTAAATTATCTAAGAACGACATAAATGTAGAAATGATATTTGCCATTCTCATACTCTGTTTTGGTTAATAAACTGCAGGTGGTGGGATTTGGGCAGCGTATCCAGTCGTGTTTTCGATCAGCTTGGCTTGCGGGATTTTCCATTCTGTTATAGCTGTGTCTATGGCGATATTAACGTTATCAACCTTCATGGTTGTTGTTATGTTTTTGGTGACATTCTACAATACAAGTGGAGCCTAACCGGAGTTGGTTTAAGTAACACAATTGGTACAAGAATTAGAAGAAGATGATAACCGGGTTGGTTATTTGAAGTCGGCTTTTAATCAAGTGTATCGGTCTCGTCTATATAAGTGATTGGAGAAGGTTAAGTCTGTTACAACGGTTATGTTGAGATAAGCAACTTAAACGGAATCAGAGAGAGAAGAGAGATTGTGAGTTCTTGAGCTTGGTGATTGATTAAAGCTTTCGATTGTAATCTTGTGTAATTCTCTTGGAGTGATTAGTGAAAGTTTGCTTGTGCCGTCAAACACCCAGATGTAGATAGCCTCAAGGGAGGATCGAACTGGGATAACAAATCTTGTGCCTTTACTTTCTTTGATTACATACAAACGTGAGATCGAGAGAGTGAGGTGAGAAAGATAACAAGGTGAAACGATAGGTTGATTGTTCTGTGAATCTGGGAATTGATTCTTCACAAAGTGGTATCAGAGCCAGGTTCCTTAGATGAAGGAATCAATGGCAAAGATCAAGATCGCGTGTTTTGACGGTCAAGGAGATTTCTCGATGTGGAAGAAACACATGTTGGCGCATCTATCGATTCTTGGATTGAAGGAAGCTTTAATCGAAGCTCCGGTAACATCTGAATCTGAGAAGATACCGATGAAGAAAGACGAAGATGAGGAAGATTACAAAGAGCGTATCAAGCAGCTCGAGATCGAGAAATCTGAGAAGGCTGAGAAGGCTATGAATATGATTATCCTAAATCTTGGAGATCATGTGCTGCGGAAACTTGAAGATTATACAACGGCGGCTTCGATCTGGAGCGCACTTGAAAGGTTGTATAATTCTAAAACTCTACCTAGTAGGATTCATCTACAACATAAGTTCTATATGTTTAAGATGCTAGAATCTAAATCTATAGATGAGAATATAGATGATTTCCTTAAGCTTGTTTCCGGGTTAAGCAGTGTTAATGTTTCCGCTTCAGAGGAGGTTCAAGCTATCTTGTTGCTGAGTTCGCTTCCTACTCAGTACAATCAGCTAAAGGAAACATTGAAGTATGGACGAGATATGTTGACTATAGAGGATGTGACAAATGCAGCAAAGTCAAAGGAGATTGAGCTCAAGGATGTGAAAGAAGCATCTACTTCACAACATACTGGTGATGCTTACATCACTAGAGGCAGACCTGAAAGAAGAGAAAATCCCAGGGGAAGAAGCTCAAACAAGTCTAGATCTCGGTCAAGGTCAAAGGTGACATGTTGGTATTGCAAGAAACAAGGACATGTTAAGAAGGACTGTTTCGCTAGGAAAAATAAAATGGAGTCAGAGGATGATGGTGAAGCAGCTGTGATGGTAGACAAACTACAAGAGATAGATGCTTTGACGATATCTGAACAGGATCCGCAAGATAGATGGATCATTGACTCGGGTTGTTCGTACCATATGACTTCAAGGCGAGATTGGTTTACTGACTACTCAGAGACTACAGGAGGACAAGTGTTACTGGCTGATGACAGAGCAGTTCTTGTTCAAGGGATCGGAACTATTAGGATCAATGCTACTGGTGGAACAGTCAAGTACCTCACAAATGTCAGGTATGTCCCTAATCTCAAAAGGAATTTGATTTCTGTGAGTACACTTGATCTGCAGGGTTTTAAGCAAGAAGGTGGAGCTGGAAAGACCTCGTTTTATAAGAATGGGAGGTTAGCTTTGCAAGGAACTTTGTGTGGGAGTTTGTACCTTCTTGATGGTGGTACAGCTAAAGTTACAGCTCTGACAGTAGCATCAAAGGATGATACAGCTCTGTGGCATAGAAGAATGGCGCATACAAGTATTAAGAACCTGAAGCTGTTAGTAGAAAAAGGGATTCTCGACAAGAAGAAGATCAGTGATCTAGAGTTATGTGAAAGCTGTGTAATGGGTAAGAACAAACGCCTAAGCTTTAATGTTGGTAAGCATAACAGCTCAGAGGTGCTCAGGTATATTCACTCTGATCTTTGGGGTTCTCCTAATGTTCACATGTCAATATCTAGAAAGCAATATTTTCTTTCGATGATAGATGATTATTCCAGGAAAGTTTGGGTTTATTTCTTAGCTACTAAGGATGAAGCTTTTGGGAAATTTTGTGAATGGAAAAGTTTAGTTGAGAATCAGGTAGATAAGAAAGTTAGATGCCTTAGAACTGATAATGGTCTTGAATTTGTTAATAATGCATTTAACGATTTCTGTAAGAAAAATGGCATTGAAAGACACAGGACATGCGCTTATACCCCTCAGCAAAATGGAGTGGCAGAACGCATGAATCGAACAATCATGGAGAATGTTAGGTGTCTTTTTGGGGTCAAAATCGGTACGACAGAATTAATAGCCAAAACTTTCCGCAAGAATACAAAAAGAACAGTTTTATAAAGCTCGAGAATCGTTTTATAAAACTCGAAAAATCGTTTTATAAAACTCGAGAAATCGTTTTATAAAGCTGGAGAAATCGTTTTATAAAGCTCGAGAAATCGTTTTATAAAGCTCCGAGAATCGTTTTATAAAGCTCGAGAAATCGTTTTATAAAGCTCGAGAATCGTTTTATAAAACTCGAGAAATCGTTTTATAAAGCTCGAGAATCGTTTTATAAAACTCGAGAAATCGTTTTATAAAGCTCGAGAACCGTTTTATAAAACTCGAGAAATCGTTTTATAAAGCTCGAGAATCGTTTTATAAAAATCGAGAAATCGTTTTATAAAGCTCGAGAATCGTTTTATAAAACTCGAGAATCGTTTTATAAAACTCGAGAATCGTTTTATAAAACTCGAGAAATCGTTTTATAAAGCTCGAGAATCGTTTTATAAAACACGAGAAATCGTTTTATAAAGCTCGAGAATCGTTTTATAAAACTCGAGAATTGTTTTATAAAACTCGAGAATCGTTTTATAAAACTCGAGAACCGTTTTATAAAACTCGAGAATCATTTTATAAAACTCGAGAATCGTTTTACAAAATCGCAAAAAACCGAAAAAGCCGTAAATGCGAACTAGTCAACTAGTTCGCCCATCGGCGAACTAAGGACACTCCTCTAGTACGCCCATCGGCGATCTAAGCCGGTCCCGGCTTAGATCGCCGATGGGCGAACTAAGGACACTCCTCTAGTACGCCCATCGGCGATCTAAGCCGGTCCCAGCTTAGATCGCCGATGGGCGAAATAAGGACACTCCTCTAGTACGCCCATCGGCGATCTAAGCCGGTCCCGGCTTAGTACGCCGATGGGCGAACTAAAAACTTCCCAAACACTCCGCGTCTAGATTTCCCGCATTCCCGATTCGAAACTTACGTCTTTCGACAAGGTCGCGTTCTAAACCACGGCCGAAATATCTCTCGTTCCATCTCGATCCGACTTACCGTTCGAGTTTTACGATAAAAACCGTAAAAATTTGTTTTCTCGGAAAGAACTCGAGGAAATCGTATAAAACGGCAACGGTTAAACGAAACACCGAACATTGCCTAAACTATACGATTTATTCGAGATTTCTCGTCGAAATCATAAGAAACGCGCTTTTAATAAAAAACGCCGAGTAAGTCATAAAAAACGTGTTTTTAATAAAAAGTCGAGTAAATCGTAAAACTTTGCGATTAACTCGAGAAATTTATTAAAACGACGTCAGATCAGGGAACGATCTCGTAAAAAGTCGGAAAACGGTTTTTATCGCAAAACGGCCCGGAAGGACCTAAAACGCGATAAAAACCCATCTCGCGATTTTAACGGAATCTAACCCGCAGATTTGATAACGTTTTGACGGTTTACTCGCAGAAAGAAAATAAAAGTCAAGTTTAAACATAAAAGGAAGGTTTGAAGAGAAATAGAAGATTTCCGCAGAA